AATGGGTTCAGACTTAGACAGGAGAAGTTTAGATTAGATATATGAAGTTCTTTACAGTGAGGGTGGTGAGGCACTGGAATGGGTTGCCCAAGAAAGTTGTGAATGCTCCAACCGTGGCAGTGTTCAAGGCCAGGTTGGACAGGGCCTTGGGCAACATAGTTTAGTGTGTGGTGTCCCAGCTCATGGCAGGGGGGTTGGAAATAGATGATCTTAAGGTCCTTTCCAACCCTGACTATTCTATGATTCTATCTCACCATACTTATATACTAACATTTATTTTCTTGTACGGATAGGACACTCTGCACATGTCTAAGTAGTCTATTGAAAGAGAGCTCCCCTTTCTAGCAGATCATTGTGCAACAAAACATCCCTAGTTACTCTAACACAGCATGGCTTTTTTTGTCTCTCCTTCCTTACAGAAGCTTACAGGATCTTCGGTGCTGTACAAACACAATTTCAAATAAAGAAGTACCCTGTACTCCAGAAGGACAAACAGCTGAACTAATACTGTGGGAACTAAACTTTTCCAAATAGAAATAAAATCCATTCCAAGCAAACAAAAATTATACTTGATTACGTACAACTCTTCTCATGTGATAGTTTTCCCATCTTTATCAAATGCTGATCAAGTCCTCCTTTCTCCAGGAAACATGAAAATATTTCAAAAAAGCAAATCATACAATTCCCAGAAATGCTCTGCCATCTTTGGCAAGCAACCATGTCAACAGGGAAGTGTCCCAGCAGGGAAGCAGACCACTTGAAAAACACAGGTATACAATGTTGTCATTGCTGGCATGGCTTCCACCAGAAGCTCAACAGAAACATCTATTAGTCTATTTAAGGTATGATAAACAAACCCAAAGTTAGATTATAGTCCAAGAACCTGTTTTATCCAAGATACTGGAAGGAAGGAAAAAAGGAAGGAAAAAAAAAAAAGAGACAAGGAAGGAAGGAAGGAGACAAAGAAGGAAGGAAGGAGACAAGGAAAACCCACCCTGTCAAACACTGAGGCCTTCAGGTTAGTCAAGGCCACAACATGTAATTTCTTTGAATTTTATGCTTTTAATGTATCTAGCCAATTACATAACATGTTCTTTAGAATGACTGCTACAGGAACTGATATTATGAACATCACCTAGGTTACCTGCAAGTGGCCACAGGTTTGGGGAGTACCACTCCAGCAGTGTAAACAGCCTGAAAAATTCCTTCCAGGTTTACTCTTCTGGTTATTTCCCGAATCAGGACAGGTGCTACCCGTTTAGATCTCAGTTTCTTATGGACACACAGAAAATTGATTTCTACCATTTTCTTCACACTAAAAGGACATTAAATAGTGGAAAAGTTAAAAAGAGTTGCACATTACATATTTTCATTTGCATAATTGTAGCTTTCCATGTTGTGACAGAAGAATTTGAGGTAAAAATAAATCAGCCTGTGAAAAAGTACATCTGCAACAAATGCTAATCCACGATATTGCAACTGCAATGGCAAATTGTGCAACATGCACACTGTGTCTAAGGTGTTTGCAACACTCCCTTTTCAGAGCTCTATTGAGACGTGCCTCACCTTCAGATGCAGTATGGCATCCAAGAACATATTATGTGGTATCATAATAGTTTATGATTGTCAGTGTATGAAGACCTGGCCAAGGAAGTCCATATGACGGACTATCCTTTAAATACTTTTCAGTAGGGTCGGGAAATCCTGTGTCATTATCTGTATCATCTATCGATAAGCAAATTCCTTAGATATGTATTACTGGTCTTTCCTGTAAGCAGTCCATGAGCTCATGAGCTTGGAAGGGGGGGTGGGGAAAAAGAACAGAAAAAAAAAGTCACTGCTATACACACAGGATTCTTCTGACTTTATGGTCAGTAAGCATCCTGCTCTCTTTTTAAAGTTCTCTGTGGCAATGGATACCAGTTTAAGATTTGTTTCACAGTGTTATTCTTTTACAAAAACAAAAGTAATGATGCATTTTACCTGTCATAAATACGAATATTTGCAGGGATGGCACTTATGAATCCTACCAGTTTTTTGTTTGAAGACACTCTAACCCCACAGTGCCACTGGGGTAACCAGCCCGGAGGACGTAGTGCCCTAGAATTGATGACAGAAATAATTACAAATTACTGCCTAAGAAGATGTAATAAAAACACCCTTCTTCGCACTTCAGCCAGACCAGAATGTGGAACTTGCTACTCACCACAGAAGAAATTCAGGTGAATAATCAAACCTAAACATATTATCATCATCTTCTACATAATTCTCATTTAACAGTGTGTATAACTCCTTCAGCTGAAAACACACACAAAAAAATCCAAAGATTTATCCACACACATCAGTCAGGATAAACTTGAATGACTTCAGATACATATGAAAATTGTTTTACTTACAACTTCAGCATTGCTAAGATCCAATGTGTCCCACATAAAACCTTGTGGCAAAGAATATGGCTCTAGGCGGACATTGTCCTTATCTGGTTCAATTGCACCATGTGAAGTTATAACTTCATCTTTTGAGGGAGAAGGGGGGGGGGGAAGAACAAAAAAGAATGGTTACATTGCTCGTTCTCCTAGTAGTTCTCAAAACTGCATTTAACTCACATCATTTATTTTCTCATAATTATTTCATAGGAACATGAAGCTTTTAAAAAATGCTGGAAAAAAAATTAGTACTATTAGCTTGTACTACTTCTTTCTCACAGATTGCATGAGATGGACTAATGACTATCTCATCAGAATATCTACAGACATGCACAGAACTACTCTACCTCAACTGATACCCAGTATTTCATAACACAGGACAGCAATTCATCAGCACATGCACAGCATTTAGCCAACCACGAGATCCATGGTCTCATCATGAGAAACACATTGTACTCGCAGCTAACAAGCTGTGGCTCAGATCCTGTTTACCACTGACTTGAACAGACCTGAGCTCAACAGGATTACTCAGGAGCAGTGGCATGGCAAAGCCAGGGCATTTAAGGGATGCTGGTGAAATGTGAAACTTGTTCCTAAAATCTTACATGAAAATGTGCTTTCTTCTTCTCCCCAGTTTTACATCTCCAGTCTCAATCTATAGCTACAAACAGAAACTACCCCTCTTCTATGGAGCTAACACACATACCAAATCAGAGTCATTTAGGTTGGCAAACACCTTTAAGGTCATCAAGTCAAACTGTTAACCTAGCACTGCCAAGTCCACCACTAAACCAGGTCCCTAAGCACCCAGATCTACACATCTTTTAAATATCTTCAGGGACGGTGACTCAACCACTTCCCTGGGCAGTCAGTTCCAATAATTGGCAACCCCTTCCATAAAGAAATTTCCTCTAATATCCAATCTAAACCCCTCCTGGTGCAGTTTGAGGCCATTTCCTCTTGTCCCATCACTTGTCACTTGGGAGAAGAGACTCCTTTCAGGTAGTTGTAGAAAGCAGTAAGTTCCCCCATGGAGCCTTCTCTTCTCCAGACTAAACACCCCTAGTTCCCTCAGCAGCTCCTTTTAAGACTTGTGCTCCAGACCCTTCACAAGCTTTGTTGACCTTCTGTGGACCCACTCCAGCACCTCAATGTCTTTACTGCAGTGAGGGGCCCGGAACTGAACAGTGAGGCACAGCCTCACCAGTGCCAAGCAAAAGCGGACAATAGGCACTTCCCTAGCCTGCTGGCTATGCTATTTCTGATGCAGGCCAGGATGCTCTTGGCCTCCTTTGCCACTTGGGCACAACCTGGCTCAGCCAACTGACTGTCAGCCAACACTCCCAGGTCGTTCTCCGCCAAGCAGCTTTCAAGCCACTCTTCCCCAAGCCTGTAGGATGCCATGGAGATGTTGTGACCCAAGTGTAGGACGCAGCACTGAGCCTTGTTGAACCCCATAAAACTGGCCTTGGCCCATCGATCCAGCCTGTCCAGATCCCTCTGCAGAGCCCTCCTTTACTGAAGTCTAGATGACATCCACAGCCCTTCCCTTATGCACTAAGCGAGTCACCTTGTCATAGAAGGCGATCAGGTTAGTCAAGCAGGACCTGCCTTTCATAAACTTATGCTGGCTGGGCCTGTTCATCTGATTGTCCTGTACGTGCTGTGGGATGGCACTCAAGCTGATCTGCTCCGTAACCTTCTGGGGCACCAAGGTCAGGCTGACAGGCCTGTAGTTCTCCATCCAGCCCTTCTTGTGGATGGATGTCACATTTGCTAACGTCCAGTCAACTGGGACCTCCCCAGTTAGCCAGGACTGCTGATAAATGACAGAAAGTGGCTTGGTGAGCACTTCTACCAGCTCCCTCAGTACCCTTGGGTGGATCCCATCCGGCCCCATAGACTTGTGTGTGAGTGGTGTAGCAGGTCACTGACAATCCCCCCTTGGGTTATGGGGGCTTTATTCTGCTTTCCGTCCCAGTCTTCCAGCTCAGGGTGCTGGGTACCCAGCAAACAACCGGTCTTATTATTAAAGACTGAGGCACAGGCAGCATTAAGTACCTCAGAGAGAGTCAGCAACTATCTTCTACAAAGACTAAGATTTCCCAACTGTGTTATCAGGGATAAAAGTATAAAAAGTAATCTGCCAAATTCCTTACAAAATTAAAGGCAAGGAGAGACCACCTCATCATTTCACTTGGTACCAAAGACACAAAACAGACTGAGAAAGCACATCTTCAAGGTAAAATACATTGTGGAGGAAGCCCATGAACACACAGCAGTAAAAGTGTTCATACATGACAGAAGTGCCATTATCCACTTAAGGCTGTATGAAAACAGTGTAACCTACAGCAGGAGAGGCATTATCTCTGTGACAGCAAATCCATCTACTGGAAAAAAAAGAAATAAGGGAAAAATAAATGAAATCAAAGTTTAGTCTTTGTTACTACTTAAAAGTTCTTATCTTCCCCTGAAGTGCAAGACTTCTGTGTTCTGTTGTTCAAGAGCTCAGAACTAAAATAAACAAAGGAATGCTATTTTAATAGCATTTCCCATTCTTAGAGAGAACATCAGAATGAGATTTATTAACACCATATTTTGTTGTGTATCATTGAGTGGGGTAGGGGGTGCAAGCGCTTTCCCAGAAAACATCAAGAATTCCACATAAACTCCAAAAAAAAAATTAAGGATCTCTACCACACACAGTCCAACTTCATAGCCATTTTAGAGAACACGCCCCACAGCTGGCATACATTCTTTTGGTGGTCTGTAAGACAGATCTTACGCCCAGGTCCAGTTAAACTTACTAAGTTTAGGTACAGGTTGCGTATCCCAAAACTGGTATTTACGTTTGGTAGCCTCATCAATATTCTTTGCTGGGCCTTGGCATGCAGAGAGCAGCTCCATTGCTCTCTGGATGTCTTGAAGCTTCTGCATTGGAATGGCTGGATTCTGCACACAAAGACAAATGGAAGAGGAAGCTTATTGAGTATGCTTACTTTGAACTGTTGTACAAACATGTTTATTTCTCTTACTGTTACATATTCTTTCATGTGCTCTTCTCATCATGGTTAGTTTCGGTATAGCCTTTGGAGGCAGGAACGTGGAAAGTAAGGTGGGCAACAGAGAAGCAACTTCCCAAAATACTTACCAGTTTTGAGTAGTGCTTGCATTTAACCATAGAACTCCAGTGGTTTTAACAGAAATACTGCAGTGTTAAGGCAGGATACCAAAATCACAAGAAAAAGCTTCTTATATTCTCTGTCCCACCCCACCCCCCAGTAAGACAATAAAACAGCAAAACACAAATCAGCTTAGATATCTAACAATCTAAAGATAACATTGATACACACAGAGATGTTTGAAGTTGGACTTTACACATACAGTATAAAACAGTATTTAAATTCACTACAGTTCAGTATTTCAGGTACATTGTATTGCTACGAATATCCACTTCTTAGTATTAGTATCTTTAACTTTGTATGTGCTTTCTATTAGCTCACAATTACTATAGTAGGTACCTTTCTGCACTGTATCTTATGTAGGAGTTAACCATCCTGCCACTTAATGCCAACTGTGCCAAGAACTCACAACTATAGGTAATTTTAACTGATAGAAGCAGACAGACTTAAAATAAAGTAACTTTCCACTTAAAAGTTGAAAACTCTTTACAGAAAAGTTAATTGAAAAGCATAAGCCTAAGGCTAAGCATTTCTAAACTGAGCTCTTGAACCCTCACTTTTGATCAGTCTGAGTAAATGTAACTGGAATGAGAATTTTACTTGCATAGGAAGGTACAGAGGAATAACGGTAATAGACTTCTAAATCTAAAGTGTTTTTCCTATCATCTCCCTTTTTTTAATCTACTTATTTGTTTTGTTATTTCCCAAGTGGTAAGTCCTGTTCTGAGGCATACAAACATCATGTTTGTGTTCAGGTTTTCCCAGACTGCAGTGCAATAAATACATTTGAAGGAAGAGTCTCAAATGCTTTGTAAAATTTTAAGCAATTCTGCATAGAGATACCAAGCCAGATCTTTTTTACTGTATATCACTGGATCACTATTTCTGTATTTCACTTTATTTCTAGGATTCATGTATTGAAAAATTATAAATTACATGTAATAATCATGGTAATCTGCATTTGGATGGGCATCTGCCTCTAGTATCCTCAGTCACAAAAGGAGTAAAACTCCCCGCCTGTAGCTCAAGCAGGCCATCATTTTCTATTTATAATTAAAAACTTGTGCTCTCTAACCACTATGCCATTTCTTTCATTAAGTATTGCAAAATTATACCTGATAGCATGCTTTAAACACCTGTCATCTGAGTAGTTGTGAATAATATATTTACATGCTTTAGAGCAACACTACTACTAGAACATAAAACCTCCCTACCTGCCGTGGTTCAAGCCCAGCCGGCAACTTGGAACCACGCAGCTGCTCGCTCACTCCCCCCCCCATCCTTCCTCCCCCAGCGCCCGGCGGGAGGAGAATCGGAGGAATGTAACTCCCACGGGTTGAGATAACAGCTCTCCAGTAACTAAGGTATAATACAAACCACTACTGCTACCAATAATAATGGTAAGAGGAATAACAAGGGAAAAGGACACAACCGCTCACCACCCGCCGACCGATACCCAGCCCGACCCGAGCAGCGATCTGGGCCTTCCGGGTAACTCCCCCCAGTTTCTATACTGGGCATGACGTGCTGTGGTATGGAATACCCCTTTGGCCAGTTTGGGTCAGGTGTCCTGTCTCTGCTTCCTCCTGGCTTCCCCTCCTCCCTGGCAGAGCATGAGACTGAGAAAGTCCTTGGTCAGAGTAAACATGACTGAGCAACAACTAAAAACATCGGTGTTACCAGCGTTGTTCCAAGGCTGAAAGTCAAAAACACAGCCCTGCACCAGCTACTGAGAAGGAAGGGAAAAAAAAAAAAAATGACTGCTGTAGCTGAACCCAGGGCACTACCCTACTTCTAGATCCAGACTACAGTGATGTAAGTTAATATTCTCAACTAAAAAAAAAAAAAAAAAAAAAAAAATCAAACTGTTTGTTTCACAGTGGCCTTATAATAAATTCTAATGCCACTAGATAAATTCTAAAATCTTATCAGTACATTATGAAGTCATACCTAAACACTGACATACTGTAATTTATCTGTAATTTATTTTGTATGTTTGAGTCTCTAATTTCTTTTCTAGATCAAGAAAACAGAAAAATCTAAAACCAAAAAAAGATCCTCAGTTCTAAAAAGATCTTACTAGGATATGGAAAAAGTTCATGTTCTGGTTCTAAACGCAACATGGCTCGGGACATGAGAAGCAATCTCCTTTCTTTTCAAATATTCAGAGATCGGCCTAGCTAAGAGGTTTACTTCCAACCCATTTTGTTTCCCTTTAATAGAAAGCAAGAGAACCCTACACATAACTTCACATAAATTAGAAAGAAGAGTGATTTTGTTTAATTGTAGTTTAGGGGAAGTATCTCCTCACAGCACAAGACGGCACTGTTGTGCAACAGAGCTGATACACAGTCCTTTTTTTGCCTTGGTTTTGGTGACAAGATCTGACCTCAGACCTCTGATGCCCCTGATCCTTGTAGCACAATCTGTAAGGCTCCCATTAATGAAAGCAGTAGAGAAGGTTAGGGACCACTCAGCAAACTAATCATGCACAGGTCCCTAAGAACAGATCAGATGCATCTGAGGGTGCTGAGGGAGCTGGCTAATGTTACTACAACTAGGATCTATCTAAGCAGGTTTAAAAGGCTATAGCAACTGGTTGAGGTTTCTTATGACTAGAAAAAGGTAAATGTCACACCCATCTTAAAAAAGTCCATGGGGAGGATGTTGAGAACTCGGGAGTCAGTACTGTTTAACGGTCTGGACGTGACAATGAGTGCTTTCTCTGCAAGTCTATAGACAGCTAGTTGGCAAGAATGGTTGATACACCGGACTGCAGAGCTGCTATTCAAAGCTACTTTGACAGGCTGGAAACAGAAACTTCATATAGTTTGACAAGGGCAAATGCAAAGACCTGCATCTGGGACAGAAAAAGCCCATGCAATGGCAGTGGTCAGTATGGGCTGGCTATGAAGCAGCTTTGCAGAAAAGAACTTGGAGGTGCAGGTGGACAAAGAGCTGAACAGGAGTGAGCAGTTTGCTGGCCAGCAAAGAGCAGCTGCCTACTGGATTGTACCAGTAAGACTGGCCAGCAATTCTTTCCCTTTATCTGGCACCCCTAAGATCATATCTCATAGTTTTGGGTTCCCTATTACAAGGAAAACATTGACATTGTGGAGGGAGTCCAATGGAGGGCTACCAAAATGACTGGGGTGGGTGTGGGGCTGAGGTGCCATGTGAATCACATGACATACAAGGAGAAGACAAGAGACCTTGGTTTGTTCAGCCTTAAGAAGAGATGCTTTCAGGAGTAGGAGAAATCTTACTGCTGCCTCATGGGAGGAGGCAAAGAAAACTGACTCAGGTCTTTTCAGAGGAGCACAATGATAGGACAAGAAACAATGGACACAAGTTGCAAAACAGCAAAATCCATTTAGATAGAGGGAATTACTATTTCTTTAACCAAAATTGTAGTCCAACACTGGAATAGGCTGCCCACAGAGGTTGTGGAGTCTCCATCCTTGGAGTCCAAACAACCCGATCTAGGCCCAAGCAACCTGGTCTGTTTGGATTTGCTTTAAGCAGGAGGTTGATCAAAAGACCTCCAGAGGTCCCCAATCTAAGTTATTCTGTGACTACAACAATGAATGATAATATTCTAGATCTGATCAGCTTCATTTGCATTAATATGGACAGTCTACATCACTGGGACTTGTAATGGAGAGAGATCAAAGTCTTACGAGATGGGCAGTGAAGTGTCCTCAAGCATACAACTCTAACAAGTATTTACTGCTGTGGTTACACACATGCCAGTGTTCAGAAAGTCCAATATCACAAGTAACAGAGGGAGAAGCCAAGGAGACTCACTTCTGTCTTTCTCATCTCCAGAGCAGTACGCCTGTTTACAAACTCACCTGACCTCAAAATCTGTTTTCAAAATCACTTTCAGTGGGTTCAGAAGCCCTGCTGAGTACTACTTGATGATCCTGCACATACTCTCTTAAGACTTAAGGTATACAATGTTACTTTCCTCTGAAATATTTTGTAAGCCTCTTTTCAACCAAGAGCAAGCAAATGGTAAAAGCCTTTTTTCTATAAAACATTTCAAATACCACAAAGAAACCAAGATCTAAATATTACTTGAGTAGCAGAGAAAATAAATATACTTCTCCAGACTGACCCAGATGAGCAGTCTAAGATGCTTTAAAAAAAACCTAACCTAGAGAAGTTGTTCATGTACTTATCTGTGTGTACACCTGGAACACAGCAGAGAATGTGAAAAAACCAAAACAAACCACAGCCAACAGTGATGCATTTGCAACTAGAGAAAAGTGGAAGCCATTTAAGAATAATAAAATGGTTTAGCTGCCTAGAGCTTGAAAGAAAGACTTGAATAAAGGCTTTTGGTTTATGCCAATAAAAGAGAAAATCTTGCAACGCTGCTAACAAACTGGCTAAACTTCTTGTGACAGTAAAATAATCACGAAGGGTGCCACTCTAAATACACAACTTATAACAATGACATGCTTCCATGTTTGCAAAACACATCACACCAGAGAAATGTTGTGCAAGACTGCAAGGTGCTGAGGATTAAAATCTTGGACATGAAAACAAGAAAATAAAACAACCCTGGAGCAGCTTCGTTTGCTTCCTTTGAATGCAATTAGAGGCAACACATGGAACAATGGGTTTGGTCAGCAGGGAACCAAGGAACTCCTAGAATATTGCAGCAATGAACTTGAAGTTAACATTAAAATCAACCTCACTCCAACTCTAAGAGTTTGAGGTTACTTGGTTATTGCTTGCAAACAGTCTTCCTGTATTAGAATTCATGCCACATGATTTATTTGTGCCACGCGCTTTATAGAAACACAGTATAAAAACGTGTGGTGAGATCAGAAAGTACTTAAGATCTCCCCACATATTTTCAAGCGTCCGTTGTGCTGTGCCCGTTCAAAGCAATGGGGGTGGCACAGAGAAGACCTGAAGGGACAACACAAAGTCTACTAGTTAACGAGCCAGAGTACAACTTTTTCCCCCTAAAATTACATGGTAGCCCCAATGTACTTGACAAATCTTACAGGATGAATACTATTAGTGGTACAACAATGTAATTTTCCTCACATTTAGCTGATAAAGCAAATATAATAATTACTTCAACATGCTCAATGGTCCATAAATTTTCTTATCATCATGTTACAAACTTCAGTTCTCAGGCTCAGATTTCTCTTGAGATAAAAGCTGCATGTTAAAAAGCCAGCATGTCATATTACTCACTATTCGTTCACAACATGGTAGTCAAAAGCATGTAGACAATGCTATTTTATCAAAAAGTTCACAATGATTGTGTATCTCCATGTTAGAGATTACCTCATTTCATGCAAGATGACATGCTGCTGCTTTGTCCAAATGAGACTCTGGTTAGCACAGCAGGTTACACCTTCCCTCCTACTGCTGATGCCCGCCGTGAGATAGCATGATGCTGTGCAAGTTAGTCAAATTGTGCTACGCCAAGTGAGATGGTGGCTAAACTAAAGACAATTCAGTAAACAAAATCTATTTAAAAGCATTACCACTGCAGATTAAGATTCCCTGCAACAAAGTTGTCACTAGCCTGAGTTCTAGCTGCTGTAAAAGAAAGACAAAACACCTCCTCCTCTGCTTTTCTCACAGTGCGCTACTATGGTGGTAACGATGACTCTCCAGCTAACTTCATACAGTTTGCAAACACCAGGTCTTACCTTGCTTCTGTCTATTCAGGACAGTAACTATCTGCTTAATTCTCATGTGTTAAGGCAGAACTACCAACTAGCTTTTACAAAAAAAGCAATGCACAAATTAAAATTAAATTAGAAAGCAGCACAAATTAAAACAGAACCAGGCTCTCACTTTCGAAGGCTGTTGAATTTTAATCTCCTGGGAGTCAGACGCAGAATCTGATTTGGTGCCTCCAGAATTTGGTTTCTCTTTTTTTCTCTTCTGCTTCTTTTTCTTCTTCTTCGCTCCCAAATCCCCTCCAGGACTTCTGCCAGAGATCCAGAGAATGAGCAATGAGAAGAATCAATACCACTGAGCTTAAAATCCAAAAAAAGCTAAATATGGAAAAAACAGCATTTTAATATGAAAAATCTAACAGCAGTCTGAATGTGGAAAAAAAGCAGGAGAAAGGAAGAAAAGGGGGAACTGACAGCACTGCCAAAAACCTTGCTGCAAGTACTTTCTAATTTGTTTTATATTCAGACCCCAGCACATGCAGGCATTTTGACATACTAGTGTCAAATTGTGACACTACGTAACAGCCAGTGCTCTTCTCCGAACTATTACCCAGTAGAAACATGAAACAACCAGATACAACAGAGTTTGGAGCAACTCAGGAAAGTGCAACTCGGGAAAGAACTGAGTAAAACAGCTTCCTTAGAAAACCAGTAACTATTAGTGGCCTGATATTTTTCCCCCTTCATGCTCATCAGGCACATCTGAATTTGAGAACAATCCAAACAAAACCATCCTGTTTTCAGGGAATATTGTTTGGAACTCATGTAGTGATGAAAGTCTTGCTGGCATTTCAGTAAGAAACAACATAAACCTAACCAAGTATTTGAGCTTTAAAACAGTAAGTACTATAGGGTCAACTTTAACTTAAAAAAAAAACCAAACACCCCAAACTAAAACCAAAAACCAACCAAAACCCAACAAAACAGCAAAACCAACCAAAACGAAACACCAAAGTATACATTGCAGTTGCATCTTCTGACATATTTTCACTATTGATAATATAACTCCTTTTTTCTTTAAGAGGATTCTAATCTGACAAATAATCAAGATATACAATCAAGATTAGAATTAGAATTTGCAAAGTGTGGGAGGTGTTGGCAACTCTAAGACGGAAGGCAAATAAGGAGGCAATGAGTCAGTTAACACTGAATCCTCTTCAAGAGGTTAATCTCCCAGCAAAACCATGCATACATAATGGAGCTCAAGTCAGATATCGGGGCTTGGAAGTCTCTTACTGGGAAAAAAAAAAGGCAATTGTTTATTTTAATTCTGGTGTGTGTGTGGAATCAGATACGAAACTGGCAAACCAAAAGAAAGAGAAATCAGAACATAACTAACTAGTTACTAAGATTAACATGTTTGTAAGGGTCATGTCATTCATTCACTGTAACATGCTCACTTTCAAGATTTGCCCCTCTTAACATCTATACCTTGTCAGAGACAAAATGGTCAAGAAAACACTCAATGTCCAACTGGGAGGCCAAAAACCTGCAATTAATCAAACATGCAACTAAACAAAACCTCATTTTTGCGAGATGATTAGTGTTCTCTAGAACAGTCTGCAGTGAAAGATCAACTCTTTAACATTCACGGTGACACTGGGTGGAGTTACGCTCCCAGAAAGAAGGGAGAGGGTTGTAAGTGCAGAACCCTTTGGGACGGCACCAAGGAGTTACTCGATGGACAACAGTGTAGCAGATCAAACACACAGAGGAAAGAAAGAAAGTCTGCAGAAACTAAAGATTAAGTTGTGTGAGGCAGGGAGAAAATTTTCTGTTGCAGGATGAAGACACTGCCTGATCACCTAGCCGACTCCGTTAACAATTTCTATACTCTCAGTTTAAAATAATCAAATTTAAATCTATTTGAAGGCCAATATACGAAGCTGTTACTTTGTACAGAATTTAAACACAGAATAGACAGACCCAAAGGCCTGACAAGAGGTTATAAATAGAAGAGAGTAAAAAACCAAACATGTAAAAGACCTAGGGCTTTACCACCAGTAGCAAAACTAAGATAAAACTAGTGGGGAAAGTGATTTTACCTTTGCTAGGACTCACTAAATGAGGTACTCTTCTACTTTCTTGAACTGCTCACGAACTTTCACCTTTTCCTCTAACATCTCACATACAGCAAACGCCACTGTGTCCTTGAGCTGACTCCCAAGAGCTTTTGAGTTGCACGTAAGTCTAGAAGGAGTTTCAGCAAACACCATTCTTGAACGAACACTCTCAGCAGGTGCCGAGCCCCAAGCTGCACTGGTGAAGCTCACTTGTCTTCTTGCCTTGCAGCAGGAGCCAGCCCCACTTACACTGCAGGGGAATTCTGTTCACTGGGATTACCTGAGGGTCAATGTTCTATTTAGTTTGGTGAAATAACGAACAAGAGTACTCAAAAATGTTTGGAGAAGCATCAGTTTTGCCAAGCTTTACTAATGTTATCCTCAGTTAAGCTGTAATTTTACTACAATAATCTTAGTTTGTCTTGGACCAGCTCTTTTTCATATAGAAATGCATATTTTTTAGCTATGAAAGAGGGAAGACAGAATTAAATTGCTATAAAATATACATAGTTTTTAAAACTAGTGATTTCTTTTAAAATCTTCTTGAATTCCCGTCCTCAGCTTATGACCTTCAGGTTTAGATTTTTCACGTGGCCTCTTGCAAAATAAATACCAGTATCATTGTCTGACACATTATCCAGGTACTGTTCAGAGCAGTCATTTATGCACAGTCTCCTGCTCTGGTCAGTATTTTTTACTGTTGCAGTCCACAAAATGTAAAAAGAGGATTTAAAGAGAGATCCACCTGTCCTTCAACTATTTAGGCACGCCTGCAACCCAGAGATTTGGCAGCAGGCCACACACAGAAACTTCCACTGAGTAAACAGGTTTGTCCAACACAAGTTACAACCAGAGATACCAAGCAAACTAGGGCAAAAGCAAAACCAAAACATTGCATGATTTTTTGTCCTTCTCTCACACTGCCTTGAAAAAACACAAAACTGGGAGTGGGAATAGCTGGGAAGGGAGGAACTTTGTTGCTCAATTTGTAGTAATTACACTGGACATGACAGCACAAAGGATATGCAAAGGTAACAAGATTAAAAGCAAAGGCTCCTATTAAAAGCTTTTCTCTTAATTAAACACACTTGTTTGCCGACTAAGATCTGAGTTCTCCTTTGTCTGGTCAAATACACCTGTATGATGACACCATAAAATCTATCTCACTCTTAGAACTTTGTGGGGGGGAGAAGGGGAAAGTTTCCCACTCCTGTCAAAGCTGACCCTTAAGTGTGAAATCTCTTTTGCTGACCTACCCTTAAGTTGTGTTAAGGTGACACAACTCAGAGCACGGGTTCCACGTGGGAAGCAGGAAAAGGATATGTAACTCAGGGTGATGCCACATCTAGCTGTCAGGACAGGAAACATAACCTTTTCATGCATCGAATCAACACATCTGCCGCAGCCCACCGCACAGACCATAGTTGGTTGTATTAAGAAAAATATTTGACATTAGACTTGGGCAAGATTTTAACTATGGCAGTCTAGCAGAGACATGCTTTCATACCAGGAGCACTTTACTGACAGGAGGGCAAGCCTACGCACTGAGGCTGAGGTTTACCTAAGTGTGGACTAAGGTATTTTTAACTGCATCCACAATGACAGTTTTGTCAGGCTGATGAATAAGAAAAAAGTGAGGCCAGCACAAAGGTGACATGTAAATAAAAATGCAGCTGAGGCAAAACAGGAGCCAAAAGACCTCGTTCTGCCCCAGAAAGACTTACCCTTGCCACAGAAACAGGCTGTGTATATGACTCTGAGACAGTCACTTAGGCCCACAGTTTCACGATTTTGTCTGCAAGTTAACAAATGCAAGCCCATGATCCCACCCACATACCTTTCCACTTATGTACACACATCTGGTGTTTTGCATAAATGTGAAAAAAAGACTTTTGCTTCTCCCTGCATGTGTTGGGTTTGGGGGGTTTTGTGCATGTGGTTTTTTATTAACTGAAAAATGGGGATACTTACCTGCATTTGCAGAGAGGTGTGGCAAAGGCAGAGAAACTTACTTTGTGGAGCTATAACCAAAACCATGAAAAGCTAAAACAGAAGAATCAGGAGGAGTGTGACAGTTACCCTGCCCAGGTGGTCCAGCTCTTTTGGCTCTCTTTGTTTTGATTCAAGGTTATCTTTCCCACTGAATATTTGTCAGTGTTATTTTAATTGCCTTTTTGGGTGCTAAATTCTTCTTTAACAGCAACAGCTTTTTGTAATACCAACATCTGTTTTATTACATGGAATGGGAATTTTAAGTTAGCAATTTCCCAAATTTAAAACCAAACGCATACTTCAGATGTTTATTTTTAAGCTGCAAAGGCCTAGGACTGTGTGTGGTTTTTACCTTCACAGTGTTTTGCTTCTCTCCGTAAGTGAGGTTGCAAAACTGCATTTCTGGAGATCTATAAATATTTTTGATCACAGAAATCAGGTCTCATGTATATGAGCAAAAAATTTCCAAGTAGTATTACTTCTACTAGGGCTGTCCTTGGTTCTTAAAGAAAATGGAGGCTTAGATGTAAAGGGTTTTCCCATTGCTCTACTAGACTACCACCACTTCAAGAAAGTAGGTCCTGACCAGAAGGGCTTATGTCCTTCAAATTCCACTTACTAACAAATTACCATTACTAACAAACTCTCTGGAAAAAGATTTCATTTGCATACATTTCTGTACTTGGAGATGCAAGTTTTTTGAGCATGAAAACCTAGTAGCAATACCTTAAAACCTAATCCAACAGATAACTCCTCAAAGCTCTGCATGTTTCCTCTGCCTCCCTCTTCAAGTCTGTACTCCAAGCTGCTAAAACTGAGCACTGTCTCCAATACCTTAAAATATATATATTTTTTTTTTTTACCTAAAAGCAGTACTGGTTATAAAGTTGCCATTTAACAATAATCAAATGGCTGTACTACTGAGACATTCAAAGTAAATAATTTGTGAGGTTTTGGGGGAGTTGTTTAAAGGTCATACTTTTTTCCTCATCTGTTTACTAAATGTTCTGTGCCCAAAGCCTTTCTAAAGGAGCTATTTAGAATGAACTGAGAGATCGTACAAAGCTAGGCTCAGCAGGGTAGATTCAGGTACAATAAATATATTTTTCTACATACAAACTAACAAAGCTATTTTGTAAACAACACTTTATTATGAAACAGAACAAGTACAGCATAATGCATCTAGCAGGAGCAAGCTGCAGACACAGAATAGGAGAACAGCAATGACTCACACAACATACATAATCCTGCATCTAAAAAACAGGAGCAGAATCAGAGGACAAAGACATTTGCACAGTTGAGAGCTATAAAATGGTATTTTCTGCTGCAGTCATTCAGTGCTCAAGTACATTAAAAAAAAAAAGCAATTTTTTTTTAACAGTAAAACATATATATATATAAAATCATGTGTTTTTTCAGTCAGTATTATAAGGACTTACTTTCAAATGTCAAGAAACAGCTTGAAAGGAATTTCATTTACAAAGCAATCCTACTAGAGACTGACAGGCAACACATACTCTACCTCCTTCTAAAAAAGCGAGGGTTAAAATAGCATGAGATTAAATACTGATCAGCAGCAATGGAGACCATTCAGAATTTAGCAAGCCGGTTGACACACTCATCATCTCAAGTAGTGAGACTGCTCATAGATTGCTTAGGTACATATAAACTAATCTAAAAGCTCAAAGCAAACTTTAAAGTTACCTCAAAAATTAATATACTATAATAGGAAGAAAACAGGGAATAATTAGGCTCCTATTACCATGGGTTAATCTCCCAGATCAAAAGTAGATCTTTGTGTTTGCCGCAGTGCTCTTCTTTTTGTTTGATGGAATTTATTTGAAAACTTCAGCCTGCAGACAAGTAGTAGCAAACAATATTCTCAAAGATTACAGGAAAATAAAGTAATTCAAAACTCAATATTAGACTTCATCAGAAGCCTACAATTCTGTACAGAAAACACAATATCAGAATGCATCAGAAACATGACAGAAAACCGATACTAACACTTAGAGGCTTTTTCTACTGGAATGATCTACCATTAATTTAATTAAACTTCGTATAACTTGCAAGCATTCACTTTCTTATTCAAAGATGAATAAAGCAGCTTCTTCAAAATACTCGTGGGATATCCACTGAAACACACTGGGGATATTCAAGAAGATCAAGTTTTGGGGAGAGCAGCATACAGCCCACAGTCACAGCAGCTGTCCCTCAGAGCTCAGCAAGACCCAGGCTGGAGTAGAACAGCAGGCTGTGATTCAGAACACACCAAAGTGCAATTCTTTGTTCTCCAGCTGCTTCTTACACACTGCTCTCCCCGACTCGCTGCCACAGCAGCCCAAGCACGTAGCTGCAAGCCTAGCTACACTGCAGAGGGCAGCTACGGCTCAGTCACACACACAAACAGAAGAGGAAACTGTAGTAGTAATAAGGTACCAATGAATTCTAGGCAGGCATCAGCCAGCTATCAAACAATCTCTCCTGGCACATCAGGTTGGCTCTTACCAAGAGCAGTAATCATTCTCTGCTGGTAGTGGTGTTATTTTTGCATATTTGGGAATCATCAACTGTGGCATATTTACACAAACAAACGTAACAAAGGCTCCAAGATAATTAAACACTACTTTGTCCCTTTTCAATATGCCAGATTTATATTACTATAATTGACACAACTGTCTCAGCATGCATGCCATGAATTCACTGAGAGAGCAGCAAAAAGTTTTCCCCTTTCCTGCCTTTCAGACAAGTCAGTCCTCCTAAGCGGTTTCCTAGATTTCTCTTGCCACATTTAAGATGCAGAGCTGCTTGTTGTCAAGCAAATCCCAGGGGCAGGAGGTGACAAACAGCATACATCCTCAAACATCAATCACCTACAGAAATGCTCTCAACCTGATCAATCAGAAATTCACGAGGAAGGTATCTGTGTGGCATTGTATAGATTAACCTAGCTCTATTTTAGGTTACTCCAGCCGCTCCTGGCTGCAACAACAAAGCACCTTCTCTGCAATCACATCTGCTAACCCCGCAAAAAAGTACATTTTATTGAAGCCGATTTTTAAAACACGTTCCTCCCCTACGTGCCGAGCAAGCCAGACCCGTGGCACCTTGCGCCTGGACAGAACCATGCTGTGCGCAGCCCAATAGCACCCGGCTGCAGG